TACATATACACATACATATATATATATATATATATATATATATATGTATATATAGCCAAGCCGCCCCGCAACCCGCCGCCCCGCAACACGCCAATCCACACCACGCCGCTGACGGGCGCTGACACGTTCGTCACAGACCGCCATCATTTGCATTCACCATTGTGAAAGCAATAGGCCCTTACCCTGTTCGGGGCTCGGGCCTATAAATATAAAATCCCTCAGTTGTATGCACAGCTAAACAGAACTGTCTTTAACCTGGTTTTAAACATTGTCAGAGAGGAGGCCTGTCTCACATCTTCAGGAAGATTGTTCCAGATTTTAGAAGCATGAATCTGAAAAGCAGCCTTCCCATGTTAAGTCCTGACTCTGGGCACTAACAGGAGTCCAGTCCCTGTGCTCCTCAGAGTCCGGGCTGGTTCATATGGTACTAACATGTCACTAATATAACCATAAGTGCGAAGTGGTAAATGTTTAGAAGAATCCACGAGTCGAGCTGAGACGCTTGTGGAAGTGGACAGGCTCTAAAGTACGGTCCTGACTAAACTGTTGATCTCTACATGTGTCTGTGGCTTCTCCGCTCAGGGATAATTACACGAGCTGTTCCCGTGCACACAGAATATATAAGTTAGTGGTTCTATATTCAGCCGGTTTGGATTTGGCCCTGCAGTAATCTCTTCACACACTGCATCAGAAGTGGAACAGCAGAACAGAAGAGCACACCCAGCAGACGGAGAGAAGCAGGAAACCATCGTGAGATAAGGGAGGCGACCTGAGAGCCTGATTCTGCTGAGAACAACTTGGAGCCAACGGAGCATGGATTTAGTTTTACTGCTGATGGAACTTTAGACATTTGTGGGTGTACGAAGCTTTGAAGTGCTTCTGACACATTTCAAATTGAACTAAATTGAATCATTTTTAAAATAATCCCACAAAAACATTCAAATCCACATCAAAGTCTGTGTGAAATACTCCCTGTCATGAGGGAGTATTTCAGAAGTCCACTTTCATTTATTGTTACCTTTATCCAGCAGGAAGTAACAAAAGATAACTCAGAAACTTATGAGCGGATGTGTGTAACTTTTTTTTGTCACTATCTGCACTTCAGACGAGGCAAGTTTATCTGTATAACAAAACAAGGAGACACAATCACACATGGCATTAAAATCATATCTAGTTTTTGTAATACTCAGCTATCCATCCATCCATCCATTTTCTTCCCCTTAATCCATTTCTGGGTCGGGGGGGTGGCAGTCAGAGCTGCACCCAGTCCACAGAGCACCAGCCCCTCACTGATCCTCCTGCAGGTGGTGAGTCCACAGGAGCTGAGATCTTTCAGTTGGGGCTTTGGGCAAAGTAGGGTTAAGTGTCTTGCCCAAGGACACAACGACAGCAGTCATCAGTGGGAGTCATGAAGTAGGTCTTACGGTGGGCTCGAACCCACGACCTTCAGGCTCAAAGGCCAATGCTCTACCAACTGAGCTACTGTCGCCCTTACTCAGCTAGTTTAACAGTATTATTATTGTTTATTTAGGTAAGACTGTATTATTAAAATATTGAGGACCAGCGAGTCCTTGATGTAAATTATTCTTTTTAATATTTTTAAATATAACATAGTATCATATATCATTAATTCATTTTATTTCATGGTGCCTTTCAAACAGTGGCGGGCCTTTCAAACAGTGGCGGGCCTTTCAAACAGTGGCGGGCCTTTCAAACAGTGGCGGGCCTTTTTACATTACATTTAACATATCTTTATTACGAGGAATAGCCTCTTGAGATGCATCATCTCGTTTTCAGGAGGGTCCTCAAAAATAGCAACACAAGTAGCAGCAGCGGTTGTCAAATAAATGCAGTTACAGTAAAGTGTAACAAATAAAAAACATAACAAATTACAGTAAATAAATTCAATAAAATAACAGACAAAAAAACTAACAAAAACAATACAAGGACAGAAACATTCGCTCACACACACACACACACACACACACAGAGCTCTCAGAGGTCAGAGGTCACCCTACTCCTCAAACTAGGACAGTGAAAACCAAAGGATATAATATTTAAAGGAAAGTTCAGTAGCAGTTACAAACATTACACAGATGCCTTTGTACAGCAACTTTAAAAAGAGAAAAAGAAGTTAAAGAGCGAATAGAGGCCGGAAGGTGATTCCAGTCGTTTGGGGCTTTATATTGGAAAGCATATTTGCCAAGTTCTTTCTTCACACGAGGAGTGTGAAAGAAAAGCTGGTTTGTGTGACGAAGATTATAAGAGGAATTAAAAGGGGTTAAATATTGCTTTAAATAAAGAGGGTAATCCAAAAAATAACATTTATAAATGAAAAACAACCAGTGAGAGTGACGTCTTTGGGACAGAGAGAGCCAGGACAGCTGCTGGTACATGTCACAGTGATGGGTCCTGTAGGGGCAGCGCAGAATGAACCTGCACAGGCTGTTGTAGGCAGTGCTCAGAGGATGGAGAGAAGTGGAGGTGGTATTTTGGTAAACTATGTCTGCATAGTCTAATATGGGAAGTAGTAGTTGTGAAATAATCCTTTTCCGTGCAGATAAATTAAAACAGTCAATGGATTGATAAAGTGTTTTCAGTGAATAGTTAATTTTGTGTACAGTTTTGTGAATATGGGTATTGAAAGAAAGATTTGAGTCTAGCCAAAGACCAAGATACTTAAGGTTGTCCACACATTTGACTGGGGACAGATCTAGAAAGTGGAGATTTAAATCAGGGAGAGGTTTATTGGTCTTCTTGAAAAGCATGGAGTAGGATTTGGTTTTGTTGAGCAGAAGTTTGTTAGAAAGGAGCCAGTGTTGAACAATGTCAAAGTTGTGTTGTAAAGAGTTGCAGATGTCAGGGATATTAGAATTGGAACAGTAAATAACAGTGTCATCGGCATAAAGTTCAATAGTGCAGTTGGAACAGATAGTCGGGAGATCATTAATAAAGATAGAGAAGAGAAGAGGACCAAGTGAGGAGCCTTGTGGAATGCCTTTTTCAATGACTGTGAAGTTGGACTGGCTGCCCCCAAAGGAAACACACTGGCGACGAGAGTGCAGGTAGGAGTTGAACCAGAGAAGTGCTGGTCTGGAGAGGCCAATGCTGTGGAGTTTGTCCAAAAGTAAATAATGGTCAACCAAGTCAAAAGCTTTCGTCAAATCAAGAAATAATGCACCAGTGAACATACTTTTGTCAAAACTAGAAAACACATCATTTGTAAATTTCAGGAGGGCAGTAGTTGTACTGAAATGCTTTCTAAATCCTGATTGAGATTGGGATAATAGGTTGTTATTGGTGAGATAGGTTGAAAGTTGAATAAAAATTAATTTCTCAAATATTTTGACAATACTGTTGATAATGGAAATGGGTCTGTAGTTATTGATGCTGTCAGTGGAACCTGATTTATGTAAGGGTATTACTTTTGCACATTTCCATGTTTGAGGGACATTACAGCTGGAAAGAGATAAATTAAAAAGTGAGGCTAGTGGAGAAGCCAGGACATGTGCACCTATTTTAAGAAATTTGCTCTCAATACCATCAGGTCCAGCACTGCTGTTGAAAGAAAGTTCACTTAAAACCTTAAAACTTTTTTAAAAACTTAAAAAAAAGTACATCAACAGGACTAACCTCGGTGAAAGAGAATGAACTGTTGCACGGCTGGCGATCCGGAACAACTTGATGAAAGGGGGGATGGACCTGTGGCGTTTGTGAAAAGTGCAAGCTGAAGGCATTGGCTATAGTGGAAGGGTCATTGGAGACCTCATTGTTAATAATCATATTGTTCGTGGTCGTACTGGATTTGCCAAGCACACTATTCATTTGTTTCCAGAACCGTTTTGGATTTTTAAAATTGTTGGTCAAACTGTTTCTATAGTAGTTAGCCCTGGAGTTTCTTGTTTTGGTGGTACAAACATTTCTCAACTGTCTGTACTTTTCCCAGTACTTTCAAACAGTGGCGGGCCTTTCAAACAGTGGCGGGTCTTTCAAACAGTGGCGTGCCTTTCAAACAGTGGCAGGCCTTTCAAACAGTGGCGGGCCTTTCAAACAGTGGCGGGCCTTTCAAACAGTGGCGGGCCTTTCAAACAGTGGCGGGCCTTTCAAACAGTGGCGGGCCTTTCAAACAGTGGCGGGCCTTTCAAACAGTGGCGGGCCTTTCAAACAGTGGCGGGCCTTTTAAACAGTGGCGGGCCTTGCATTTCAGACCTGCGCCTGCAGCGGTGTCCTAACATCACTGATTGGTTAAAGCTCCAGGTTAATTTTCATTGACTATAAGCTAGCACTTGTGTTTAGGCGAGCAGTGAAGGCATTTAGGGGGTCCGCTACTGTCTCTTTATCACTTTCTATCACTCTATCTAACGCTTGACAGAATCAATGAAAAAACTACCATGGACACGTGTATGAGGCCGAATACCACTGTAATCATGTTTAAAGCTGAGAAAAGTCAAAAAAAGTAATATGGGTCCTTTAATGTTAATGCTTACTTCTAGGTTTACTGCAATTTCTCCTAATCCTCATCTGGACATAAAGTCATCTGTATTTGGTTTCTCAACAGAATCAAAAAGTTAATAATAACACAGTTTATAAGAATGCATTTGTTTATTTATTGCTCAACAAGATAAAGGGTAAGAGTACGTTCACTTTGGTTTATGCACTGAAACACATATCTGAGGTTGGACTTGTTAGAGATTCCTGACCAGTTACACACAACTTTAACAGTAAACAATTACTTTGCCAATGAAACAAGAACTTATTCCATTGGCCAAAAGTTCTTGTTTAAATTAAAATGTGTGAAAACTCACCAGAAACATCTTAAAGCAGGTGAAACCTCTGAAGTCATGTTAGATCCTCTGGATACTAACTATGTTCACTGACTAAGATCATACCTCCTCAAGTCACGTATGACTCGACAAGATAAAGATCTAGTTTAGTGTCATGTTAGCGTGATGCTAGCTTTGTCCTGAACACCACGTCTAACACTAATGTCTGTGTTTGTTTTAGAAACACCACCAACTCCTCCTCCTCTTCTTCTTCTTGTGCAGCCCGTTGACTTTGTCCTGGAGCTCATGAACCTGGAGCTCCAGAGCAGTGTTGTAGTCCTGAGAGGAGGTCAGGTCCTCAGACAGCTTCTGTACCTGCTGCTCCAGGATCAAGCGGCTCTTTTTCTCTGAACACAGCTGATCTCGGTGGAGCTGCTGAAGCTTCTCTTTGAGGACTTCTTTGACGTCTCTGTTGCAGGCAGGACGTTCTGTAGTATTTTTCATATCAGTGCTCTTTAGTTCCTCCTCCTCACTCCACAAATTCTCAGTCTCTTGTTTCTCCTCTCGCAGGACTTGTCTGAGCTCGGTCACCTGACCTTTCAGACTTTTCTCTTCTTCGGCCCTCTGGTTGTCCTGGAGGGCCTGGGTTCGATTATCACTTTTCATCACCTTTACCTCGAGGTTGGCGACTTTCAGGTCTGCGATCTCCGCCCACACAGCTTCTCGGGCTTCCTCCACTTGTGCAGCAAAAGCAGAAGCCTTCTGTTGTTTCAGATGATGGATCTCACACTCTTTGTCCTCCAGCTCCTTGTTGTGTTCATTCTGGACTTTCTCACACTGTGCTTTGAAGGTATCTGCTCCTGTTTAGTCTGAAGCTTCTCTTTGAGCTCCTCTACCAGCTGCAGCAGAGCAGTCTGGGAGGTCTGGGCCTCTCTGGTGGCCTGCTTCTCCTGGTCCAGGGCAGATCTCCGACGGACCTTGGATCTTCACTCGTTCGTCTCTCTCTCCTTCTCCTGCAGTTTGTGCTCAGCTTCACTGGTGAGACTCTTCTCCTGGTTCAGGGCAGACATGAGAGAGTCCAGTGTTGTTGACAGCTTCTGTGTCTCTGTCTGTAACTGCTCCACATTTCTCTGGGCTGTGACTGTGGCTCGGTCTCTCTCACTCAGATCTGACTGGAGTTGGGTCACCTGACTCCTCAGTGACTCCTTCTCCTGCTGCTCCTGCTGCAGCTCCTGTTGCAGAGCTGTGATCTGGTTCCTCAGAGCGGCCTTCTGTTGGGACGTCTCAGAGATTGCATCCAGGAGTCTCTGTGCTCTCTTGTCTTTACGGTCCAGTATGGTTTCGAGCCTGGCGTTTCTTTCAGACAGATCGCGTATCTCGTCCTCCACAGCTTCCTTGGCCTCCTGCTCCATCACAGTGGCTCGCATCTGGTGTGCGAGATTTGAAGGCCCAAATCTCGCCTGGATCCCGCTCTACATCCAGTTTGAGGTTCTCTATCTGTGTGAGAAGCTCTTCCTGGGAGGCCTGGTTCCTCTGCTGTTCCCTCTCCAACTGTAGCTTCAGCTCTTGGTTCTGTCTGAGCAGATGTTGAGAGAGGGCCTGGTCCTGCGGAGCGTCCACAGACACAGTGTTATCAATGAGCCGTGTAGGAAGTGGCGGTTGGTTCGGGCGGGGCGTCCTGCGCCTCCTGCGACGTGAACCGTGGCTCATGTCAACATTTTCGTTGCGAAAATCCATGTTTTGTTCTGTTCGTTTATAACTTTTGAAAATGCAAATCTGTGCTAATGTCTCAAGTGATTCCACTCCCATCAACTCAAACCTAGGCCCTTGATTATGTCAGAATGCTGATGTCATAGTTACCATAGCAACAGCTATTGCCCTTGGTGTAATCATCCTTGGTTTCCATAGAAACCAAAATTTCAAACAACCACAATGCAATAAGATACGAAAAGCACACAAATCTAAAAAGATATCATAATCTATATCAATATATAAATGTTACATAAATGTATAAAAGATAAAAAAATATGTTTACAAAACATGTGAACAAGCAATATAACCGAATATATATGTACGTAAAGAATATTTATATATAATATGATAAAAAATATATTTATAATGTAAAAGTATATCATAAATTAAGTGTATATGTATAATAAATAAATATGTAAGATATAAATATAATATAGTAAATATATATATGTATATATAGTGTAAATATATGTATAATAACTATACGACTCTGAATACATATATAACTCTATATACATCATAAATATAAAAAAATATATAAATAAGAAATATATCCACAAACACAAACACAACACAAACACAACAACACCCACACCCGCAAAACAAGAACAACATACACACACAACAACGCCCCACTTCTGTCGTAGTCCCCGTACCTCGCAACATCACGATACATATCTCTATACCACAGTAAACCCTAAACAGACACACACACTCATCACACTCACACACACACAAACACACTCCACACACACATACATACACACACACACACACATACAACCCATCACCTACACCAGCTCACACCCTCGGTAGGTGGGGTAAAAACCAATAAATACCAAAGAAAAATAACAAAAACAACACACACACACACACCCACACACGACACACCGCACACCCTCAACCCCCACCCACCACTCACACCCACAGCCCACTCCCAACACACTGCTCACACAACACCACAAACACACACCTTACCCACAACCACCTACTCACACACAAACCCAGCACATGCCCGCCACACACACGACACACCCAGCACATACCCCCACACAGCACAGACACACCACATCACACCCGCACACACACACTATATCCATCCCCAGTTACACACAATCCCCTATTAAATCAATCCCGACAGATTAACCACATTAGCCCCATCATTCACCCCCGACAAACGGCATAATCATACATTACCCACATGCCCGACCTCGCGAGACAGCCCACGCTCCCTGGTTCCAGCTTTTAAAGAAATCATTATAGTTACACCCAAGTCTCCGCAACTCCCCGCAAATCCAAATTCCCACCAACAAAACGCACCACCCCACCCCAGGAAAAGATACCCGTGCCACTCAAACATATTGACAGATAGCCACGGTTCACGTCTCCGGCTGTCGCATTACGTCCCCGCCCGCAACCAGACCGCCCCAATCCTTAACCCGGCTCCTATGTATAACACTAGTGACCTGGTAGTACTCTCCAGCCCCTCAGTACACTTGTTTTTCAAAAAAGCGACTAGCGACAAATCTTGCGTCTTTTTCTGGTGTTTATTGATTGGCGACTTATCTGGTGTTTTGGCGACTTATCTGGTGTTATTGAACTCGTGAAGCACGTATTGTTTCTGCTGTCCTCTAACGTGAGCCCCTCCCCCGTCCCAAAGCACTTACAGGCGGCCATCTCACAGTAGCCTGCGCAGCCCATCCAGCTACAAGTCCCTATGGCGAGCAGAGAGAGAGAGAGGAGACTCAAAAGCACAATATGTATATACAAATAACATATAACATAATAACATATATAAAAATATAAAATATATACACATATAACCATATATACACACATTCCTGCTGTCAGTCAATTGCACGCTATCACACATTTAGACAGATTTGTGAACAATGTTAGAAAGAAATGGTAGTATTGTGTTACACAGGTGCGCATGCGCGACAAATATCAGAAATATGTACTATCACTTGAGTTAGTAAGCGCCTTTGCGTACTTCACACAGACCAGTCCTTCTCAAACAGGCGCTCCTCCCTGGGGGGAGTGACGGAGAGGGTCAGTCTGCAGTGTTGCCAACTTAGCGACTTTGTCGCTAGATTTAGCGACTTTTCAGAACCTATAGCGACTTTTTTTTCAAAAAAGCGACTAGTGACAGATCTAGACAAAGCATTAAAATCATTAAATGTTGTTAATGTTGAAATTATTTTTGTACATTTGTAGTTCTAAACATATTTAGGGTGTTTTTTACTCACTTTTGTCTCTCCCACGACGATATTCCTCTCTCCTACAGCGTCCGTTATAGTTATTTGCAAATTGCCAATTATGCAAATTAGGCGATGACGTCATTTAGCGACTTCTAGCGACTTTTGGGACAGCCAATAGCTACTTTCCTTACTGAGGAGTTGGCAACACTGTCAGTCTGTTGCTACGTGCACATCACTTTTTTTTGAGCACCAGGAGGTGGTGTTTGGTACTCACTCCACTCAATCCAAGTCAAATAATGACTCACAGGGCTCTTTCTTAAAAATGCAAATAAAACAACAACATTATTATGCATTATTAATGCAAAGGAAAATGTAGGTACCACAGCTTTAATGTAGAGACACTCTGGACATGGACACTCCCTGAAGGCTCCAGAGTCACACTCTAATGTACAGATATAAACATACTGCTGCTAATGTACAGATGTAAACATACTGCTGCTAATGTACAGATGTAAACATACTGCTGCTAATGTACAGATGTAAACATGCTGTTGCTAATGTACAGATGTAAACATGCTGCTGCTAATGTACAGATGTAAACATACTGCTGCTAATGTTCAGATGTAAACATACTGCTGCTAATGTACAGATGTAAACATACTGCTGCTAATGTACAGATGTAAACATACTGCTGCTAATGTACAGATGTAAACATACTGCTGCTAATGTACAGATGTAAACATGCTGCTGCTAATGTACAGATGTAAACATGCTGCTGCTAATGTACAGATGCTAACATGTACAGATGCTAACATATAACTACATATTGCTTGCACTAGAATACACAGTACTTTATAAACATTTTACATTTGGCAAAATAAGAGGCAAGTATACTCTTTAATGCTAGAGTTAGAGATTTTGTTTTATTTTATTTGGTATAGAGTTATTGTTCACTTATCCTGTGCTGTGTGCTCCTCATTCCTACTGTTCTATAACTATAATAAAGGATCTCTTAATCTTAAACTGTATACTGCCAGAGTTCACGTTATGTCATACATAGCTTCTAACCTACTGCATTTGTGTTCATGTTTCAACACAACATTGCAAACACATGAACATAATATGGACATTCCTCTGCAGGATTCCTCTGCGGCAGCCTGAGGAAAATCAAATATCGTAATATCTGGACCCATCAGTGTGTGGGTTTGGCACCGGCACCAGTTTGTGTTTTCCACTGTGAGCAGAACACAAGCGTTGAGTGTGTGCGCAAAGGCCACATCATTCTTGGTATTTGTGTTGCAATCTTTCACATGGACTTATTATGAACAGAGCGGAGAGCCAACTGCAGCACGCTCCATTAGGGGAAAACAAGAATCTACTTTAGAGAAACTTTTCCAAGACCATGTTTGAATCTCAGGAGAATCTGTTGCCACACGAGCTGCGCCCCAAAACGCTCTGAAAAATGCAGTTGCAAAAGTTGTTCTTTCATAATCACAATATTGAGGTAAACAAATGATTTTCTATTTACCAAAAATCTGTGCCTATATGTCATAATAACAGGTCACATGTAAAAATCATATCTAGGTAAGTAAGACTAGAATCACAAAGCGCTTTACAATTGTTGTGAAAACCGGAGCACCCAGAGGAAACCTACACAGACACGGGGAGAACATACAAACTCCACTCAGAAAGACCCTGTTGCGACCGGGATTCGAACCCAGGACCGTATTGCTGGGTATCGATAATGCTATCCACTCAGCCAAGTTATTCCTAACCAAATAACAGAATGAATACATATTTTTAATTGGGAACAACTCCTAACACACCCCTAACTTAAACACCAACTGTGTGATTATGAAATGTGCGATATATAAGCACTGTATGTTATGACTATTGTTAGCTACTTATAGAATGATATACTTATTAGTTTTGTTTGTATGGATGCGTTTCTGCTGCGACTGGACACCTGAACTTCTCCGACGGGGATCAATAAGGTATCTTGTTTACAATTTCCAAGAAGACGATCCAATTCTGAAATTCCCCATCCATACATCAGGATTGTCTTCTTGGAAATTGTAAACATGATACCTTGTCCATCCATTCATCCATTCATCCATCCTCAAAACAAAACGTTAGCGCCACACATTGGTCATATTCGTGGACAGTAAATATTAACGGACGTAGTTATTGACTCTGATTAAATGTACCTGTGAGCCCCTCCCACTGGAAAATGGTGAAAAGCTTGACACATGGCTGAAAAAAACCCGCTCATTCAAAAGTCTACAGCAGATAAATGAGGCTGGTCCAAAAAACTCCCCTAAGCTTTGACACGCTTTTAGAGCTTAGAAGTTTACTTTGAGCCAAGAGCCGACTTTTGGACCAAGCTGTAAAGCCGTTTGAGAGGAAATAAGAAAACATTGGATAATTCTGTTTCCGGCATGTGCGCTGACATGCTTCCAATCAGGTTCCTTGCCTGTGGGGGTGCCACAGGCAAGGAACCTGATTGGAAGCATGTCAGCGCACATGCTCACGGACCTTCTTGAGGTGGTATCCGCCCCCTACTGGTCAAAAGTATAACAAAGAGAAGTAGATACGCATAATACACATTTTGTACCTTTTATAGCTAAACCCCAGCAGGTGAATTGCATCAGTAATCAGGACAGTGACAGTATTTTTAAATAAATAAACTGGAGCTAAAACTGTCACTAATTATTCATATAATTTGCTTATTTAATTATTATTTAATCGTTAATGTTTATACAAAAGTCTCCAATTCTGCCAAAG